ATTGGGTTTGATGTTCTTGGAGCCGGGTCTGTAGGAAATAATGAGGTTGAACTGAGAGAAAAACAGAGACCACCTTGACTGACGAGGGTTAGCCTGTTTGGCGGACTGGATGTAAGCTAGGTTCTTGTGATCAGTCCACACCAAGACTGGGTGTTCAGCCCCCTCGAGCCAGTGTCTCCACTCCTCCAATGCGAGTTTGATGGCCAGAAGTTCTCGGTCCCCAACATCGTAGTTTTGTTCAGCCGGTGAGAGTCTACGGGAGAAAAATGCACAGGGGTGAATCCTTTGATCTGAGTCGAGTTGTTGGGATAACACAGCACTAACACCAGAGTCAGAGGCGTCCACTTCGAGGATAAATTGCTTGGCAGGATCTGGCTGGATTAACACAGGAGCTCTGGAAAACAAGGTCTTTAATTTATCAAAAGCATTTTGTGCTTCTGGAGTCCATTGGAAAGTCTTTTTGTCAGATGTTAGAGTTGTGAGAGGTAGAGCTGTCTGACTGTAATTCCTGATGAAACGACGGTAGAAGTTAGCAAAACCCAGGAATCTCTGCAGCTGTTTTCGGTTTTCAGGTGTCGGCCAGTCCAAAACTGCCTTTATCTTGTCTTCGGATGGCTTAACCTGCCCGCCCTCGAGCACAAACCCGAAAAAGGTGACAGAAGGTTGGTGAAACTCGCATTTTTCACCCTTTACAAAAAGTTTGTTCTCCAACAATCTTTGAAGGACCAGGCGGACATGTTTCTTATGCTCAGAATGGTTCTTGGAGTAGATTAAAATGTCGTCAATGTATACAAACACAAAAATATTCAAAAAGTCTCTGAGGACATCATTGACGAGCGCTTGAAAACATGCAGGAGCGTTAGTGAGACCAAAAGGCATAACCAGATACTCAAACTGGCCCAAAGGGGTTTTAAAGGCTGTCTTCCATTCGTCACCTTTTCTTAACCTGAGAAGGTGATATGCGTTTCTTAAGTCGTGCTTGGTGAAGACAGTAGCCCCTTGTACTGGTTCAAAGGCTGATGCTAGTAACGGAAGTGGGTATTTATTTTTAACAGTTATTTGATTAAGGCCTCTGTAGTCTATACAAGGTCTTAAGGAACCATCTTTCTTGCCCACAAAAAAGAAACCAGCACCCAACGGAGAAGAAGATGGACGGATTATTCCAGCAGCTAGGGACTCATTTATGTATTTTTCCATGGTTTCACGTTCAGGTTTGGAAATGTTATAAAGTCTACTGCTGGGCAGGGGAGCACCAGGTAATAGCTCAATAGCACAGTCATATGGTCTGTGAGGTGGAAGAGACGTAGCACTGGCCTTACTGAAAACAGGAGCCAGATCAGGATACTCGGAAGGGACAGACGTAAGGTCAGGAGAGTCAATCTCCCCCCTACCTCTAGGAGACTGCACAGCGGGAGCTGCAGAACGAAGGCATGTTTCATGACAGGAAGTTGACCAAGACTCAATGTGGCGTTCAGCCCAGTTGATATGGGGATTATGTCGTTCTAGCCACTCAAAACCAAGCACCAAGGAAGAACATGTAGAAGGAAGAACAAAAAATGTTAAAGTTTCTCTGTGATTTCCGGAGATCAACAGCTCTAGAGGTTGTGTTTGATGGGAAACTTGATGGAGTCTCTTTCCATCAATAGCAGAGACACTGAGTGGTTTGGCTAACGGGACCGTTTCAATCTGTAGCTGCAGAACCAGGTTAGAGTCTATGAGATTACGCTCACATCCAGAGTCAATAAAAGCAGACAACGTGAGATTCTGGTTAGAGAAAAACAGAGTGGCTGGAAGCATCAAATGAGGAGACTTTTCAGTTTTCAAATGGCCTGTCAGACTCCTCAGTTCCTCTGACGGGCCCCGGCTTTTGACTTAGCAGGACATGAAGCAATGAAATGGCCAGTCTCACCACAGTATATGCACAATTTGCCCCTGAAATGTCGTAGTCTTTCCTCAGGGGTTAGCCTTGTGTGTCCAACCTGCATGGGTTCGGCTTCCTTCTCATCTGAGTGAGA